GACCCGCCTGCCGCCTCGGGGCCTCTCCCAGCTTGGCCCAGAGGAGGAGGAGGAGGAGGAGGAGGAGGAGGAGGAGGAGGAGGTACCGATTCCCATCGCATTGGAGCGCGTTTCTTTGTTGCTTGAGGCACAATGCACATTATAGCCCCCAGCCCCCCCTCCCCTCCCCTCTATAACGTAGTTCCCCTCCACCTACAGTGCGCTCCGGGCACTGCCGCCGTGCGCGCGGCGGGGAGGAGGCGTTACATTAGACCCCCCCCTGGCCCCTCCCTCCCCCCTTCAATGCCCATTATCACCGAAAATCAAGAAACGCGTTCTTGGATTTCCGTACCGTGGGGGCGTTGGTTAAGGAATGCGCCCAGGATGCTGCAGACCCTGGAGGGTTCCTTATCTGATCAGGGTGGCGGCGATGTCCACGGCCAAGCCTCGATCGGAGTTCAACTGGCCTCCAGACCCTGGATTCCTTGTCTAAGGGTTAGTTATTCAATGCCCCAACCGTATTCCAACATTGGCATCGGCTGGGGGTATGAGGCTGAGGTGGCCCAGCCCTGGCTCCGGCGAGCAGGGAGGACGTGGAGGTTGCAGGCTCTGGGTTCGGGAACTCTGGCCCTTTTTTTGCGACTCCGGTGCCGTTGTCGGGCCCTGGGGCCAGAGAAAAAATTGCGGACCCCAGGAGTGGTCCGGGGACAGGTTTTGAGCGGATTTGGCCTCATCCCCCTCCTGACAGATTTTCAGTGGCCCCAACAAGTCCAGACCCCCTGGCCGCCTCCTAGTTGAGAGCAGGTATTTCTGGAATCCCAGGTCCCAGATCTGCTCGAGGCGCCTTCCTGTTTGACAAGCCGAGCGGTCTTCCCTCTGCCCTCCTCGCCAAGGGGCGGACGGAGATCCAATCTACGTCCCCCGCTGAAGATGATGATGGTGATGGTGATGATGATGGTGATGGTGATGGTGATGGTGATGGTGATGGTGATGATGATGATGATGATGATGATGATGATGATGATGATCATGATGATGATGCTGATCATGATGATGATGATCATGATCATGATCATGATGATGATGATGATGATCAGCATCACCATCATGATTGTGTCATCATCCTCATCATCATCACCATCAGCAGCAGCAGCATCATCATCATCCTCTCGAGGGCCCTCGTGTCGCCACGGCTGGATTCACCTCGGCAGTGTGGCCAGAGCTGGTCGGGAGTTGCCGCGTCGGTGCCTCTTGGCCCCCCCGCTGGCTGCGCGCGCGAGGGTGGCGCCAGGGGGGGGGACGTGGGCCACCCGAGAAGGCTTGCGGGGGGCTCCTCGGGAGGCTGGCGGCGGCTTCCTAGAAGCCCTCCCGCCTTTTGGACCCCCCCCCGCCGTTTTTCTAGACCACCTGACGTGAGCGTCGTTTCAAGATCCTTTCATTTCCAATTTTTCCATCCTGGGCCTCTTCCTGGCCACTAGGGGGCCAGGAACAATTAGAAACGAGCACGATTAGAAATGAACGACGTGTAACGCTCGTTGACCCCCCCTCTCCCCAGGTAGTTAGCGCGAACGATCGTGCTGGGAGGGGGGGGGCCTGGACCCCCCTCCCCCTGCATAGTGTGGTGTACACAGGCGATTGATGTGCCGGATGCGCGGACGCACCCTGGTGGAAGCATGCCGCGGCCGCCGTTACCGTTTCCCTCCCGCCAAAGCTCCTTTTTCCCCGGTAACGACCGTTCCCCGGGAAAGAAAATGCAGGTCACAAATGGGGTCCGAGAAGGTGGGGACGGAGCATCGCCCCGGATCGCTGCTGCATCGGCGATGCGGTTCGATGCGAATCCTGTTTTCCTTCACGTCTACGTCGCGTATGCATCGCCGACGTCGCCGATGCATCGCCGATGTCTCACAGATGCATCAACGATGCATCACCGATGTGGCACGATCCTCTGACCTCATCTACCGAAAACCCCATTTGGGAGGCCTCTAGTCCTAGAAGGCCTACCCCCCTGTGAGCGCGCCGCCAACCGACATCTGGCGCCTCGAAAGGATTGGGGCGGGATTGCAAGATATGTCGGGGACGTTTCTGATGTTTTCGGGAAGTGCCAGGGCCCAGGGTAGTTTCCATCAGATGCGCTTCGTCGAGAGAGTGCCAGACACTTCCCGAACGGCCGAATGTGCCTCGAGCCTAGGCATTTGGCGCCACAGCTAAAGTCGAAATGTCCTGTATGTCGCCGTATTCGGTTTCGGGTTTTGGCACCGTCAAACAACAGCGTAAGATCAAAAGCGGGGGTTTAGGAAGGGTTGGAGAGGTCCCTCGGGGGCGGCCAAAGGGTGATATCATGGCCAGGGCCACGACATCTCCCCAGATTTCATGGCCGCATCTTCTTGTTTCGATACGCCCCTTTGCCCCCACACCCCCTTGGCCGCGCACGTGCCTTGGGCCATGATATTACAGGCTTGCGCCGCATCCGCCGACCCCTTGATTGCAGTTCGCTTCCTGTGTTTTTTTCGGGGGCGTCCATGGAGCCTTTGGCGCGTTTCTCGGGTGTTTTTTTTTCCCGGAAAGGGCGCGGGCCCAGGGTTTTCTTTTAGTAGGTTAACCCCCCGGCCCCCCTGCGACTTGGGCCGGCGAAATTATTTTTGAGGATGTCTCGAGCGAAACGCTTGTTTTTCAGAATTTGTTGAGGATGTCTCGAGCGAGACGCTGGTTTTGCAGAGTTGGGGATGTCTCGAGCGAAACGCTTGGTTTCAGAATTTGTTGAGGATGTCTCGAGCGACACGCTGGTTTTGCAGAGCCGACCGCGACACGGAAAAGCGCCCCTCGCGCAGGAATTCCAAGGATGTCTCGCGCGTGCCGCGTCCCGCGCGCGGGTATTTGGATTTCTTTGGATTTTGACAGGATGTCTCGAGCGAAACGCTTGTTTTTCATAATTTGTTGAGGATGTCTCGAGCGAAACGCTGGTTTTGCAAAATTGGAGGATGTCTCGAGCGGTGGCCTCGTGGGGGGCCAGAATTCAAAGGATGTCTCAGGCGAAATGCTTGTTTTCACGTCCCGCTCGCAGGAATTCCGAGGATGTCTCGCGCGTGCAGCGTCCCGCGCGTAGGAATTCAGATGATTTTGACAGGATGTCTCGAGCGAAACGCTTGTCCCCAGCACGTTCCGTAGCGCGTCCCCTTGGCACGTCCCGCGGTGCGTCCCCATGGCACGTCCCTTGGCACGTCGCTTGGCGCGTCCCTTGAGACGTTCTGCGTCGCGTCCTCCTGGCATGTTCCCCTGTCCATTAGCTCTGGGGCAGCTACTATGTGTTCAGGCAGCTCGAGCTTAAGATCCAGATCAGTTCGGTCAGGACTCGGATGCAAAGGAGGACTCGATCCACGAGGCTATAGAGCACAATCGCGCCATGGCACATCGCAATTCAGCACGGCGCAGCACAGCACTGATTTCGGCACGGTACATCAAGGTCGATACACTCAGCATTGCAACTTGGCACGTTCCTTGGCACGTTCCGTGGGGCGTCCTTTGGCGAGTCGCCCCTGGCACGTCGCGTGGCGCGTCCCCTGGCACATCCCGTGGCACATCCATTGGCACGTTCCGTAGCGCGTCCCCTTGGCACGTCCCGCGGTGCGACCCCATGGCACGTCCCCTGGCACGTCGCCTGGCGCATCCCTTGGGACGTTTCGCGGCGCGTCCTCCTGGCATGTTCCCCTGTCCATTAGCAGCTCGAGCCTAAGATCCAGATCAGTTCGGTCAGGACTCGGATGCAAAGGAAGACTCGATCCACGACGCCATGGAGCACAACCGCGGCACGGCACATCGCAATTCAGCACGGTGCAGCACAGCACAGCCCTCGGCACGGTACATCAAGGTCGATACAATCAGCATTGCATTTGCCCGTCACCCAATCAGGTGTCTTTGAAAACGTTGCCATGCGTTACAGTTCTATATGCCTTTCCGGGTTCGTGGGTCGATCATGTTTGTGTGTGTGTTTGTGTGTGTGGGTGTGTGTGTGTGTGTGTGTGTGTGTGGGGCTCAGAGGGGGTTTCTTCGGGTTTCCACGGGCTGTCTGAAGATTCCCCACCGCCGCGGGGGTCTTCTGTTCGGCGCTGCCAGGTTTGGGGCTCCGGCGGGCCGTGCTCTTGCCCCATTCATTCTTCCGGCGGTTTCCCGAGCCCGGGGGGGGGGGGTATTTTGCAAGATGGTGAGTCCCTAGGGGGTCGGTGGATTTCCCGCAGATGCGTTTTGATGTTCGATCGGCGCGCGCCGGCGGATGCGAGGGGGGCGGGCGCGGGGGCGCGGCGACCGCGCCGCGCCGCGCCGCGGGCCGGCGGCCGCGCCGGCGAGGGCGGGGGCGAGGCCGTGGCGCGCGGGAAGGTGAGATGGACGAGAAGAATGAATATCGGGCGTTAGTCGCTGGGCATGGGCGGCAACCCAGAGCGGGCGAAGGGCGCGCAGAGGAGGCCCTTTGCGGCGCGCGCGTTGCGGGGGGGGGCGCGACGGGCAAAGTTGGCGACGTTCTCGCAGCGGGCGCGATTCGGGAAGCGATTTCTCAAGTCAAGGGTGGGCGCGGCGCGGAAGGGCCCCGGAGAGCCCGCGGACGTCTCGCGGCGGCTGGCGCCGCGAGAATGCGACGCCGCCCGACGGCGCCCGCGGACCTGGAAGATCCCGCGCAACCCTTGTCGGATGCCCTAGCGGAGGACATGGGGGGTCAGTTGCCAGGAGTGAATCGCGCATTCGCGGGGCGCGCGTGGTCGTCGGAAGACGGCGACGAAGTGCGCGGGCATTTGGCCGAGCAGATCCGTGACATCGCGCTGCCCATCGCGGAGATGGCGCGCCCGTCGGGCGCGGGCGAGGTGTTCCGCGTCGAGGCAGCGCGCCGCGAAGTCGTCGCAGGCGCCGCTCGCAGCGGGGCGCCTCTGTCGACGCATTCGCCGCGCAGGCGGAGCTTGAAAAAGTGCGCGAAGGCAATGGGGCGGGATGACATCGCGCCCCCGATATTCCGCGCGCCCCCGTTTCCACGCGCG